TTCCAAAATGAAGAGGGCAGGACTGTGACAACCAGACTTCAGTATATTAAATGTGAACTTTAGATAAATTACAGACTGTATTATTAAATACATGGTCTGAGGTACTTCACATAATACGATAGCACATCCTTAAGAACAAATCTTGAATGACAAAGTAGGATTTTATCAATAGGTTCTTTAAATTAGAAGAATGTCATAAAGCCAGATATTTTATATGGATTTTTATACGGTGTTTCACAAATTTTCTGATCAAATCCTTGGCAAATGTATTAAAAAGTCCAGATAGAGTGATGCCACTCGGACATGTTCACTAAAGTGTTCCTCAGAGCAAAAGATAGTGAACACTCTGTTTTCAGATAGGGAAAAAAACTCAAAATATTTTGTCTTGTTATTACTTTTAAAAGCTATAATGTGTATTATCACAACACTAAAAGTGGTATTTTAAGCTATTTTTCTCCACATCTTCAAAAAATTGGTACCTAAATGTAACAATCAAATCTTCAAGTGACATCAATATGTCTTAATATTTGGTTGCTTTGAGTACTTCCTAATGTTACAAGCCAATACTAAGGGTTCTTTTATCCTCAGTTTGAGGAGTGTAGACTCAGAAGAATATTCAAACTGCACTGCTAAATATTCCACTCTTGAAATCCTAGTGCTCTTGGTCATCCACCAAGTTCTGTCCTTGCACCTGTCATTTTCAAAATGTTTATCACTACATGAATGACAATGCACAAAACGCGTCTACCAAATTTGTACCTGATGGAGAGCTAATAGAGAAAGCTCCTGTAATGTGGCATAATCAAGACACAAGTTGTTAATATGTATCTGTGTAATGACTGAATAATAAGTCTAGAAGTTGAAATTTTACAGAGACAAGGACACATTTAAAATTAATTAGATGAAGTCCAGATAGAAGGTTTTGGTTTATGAGGCTGATGTGGTGGCTCACACCTATAATCCTAGCACTCTGGGAGGCTGAGGCAGGTGGATTGCTTGAGCTCAGGAGTTCAAGACCAGCCTGAGCAAGAATGAGACCCCATCTTGAAACACAGCCAGGGTTGCAGTGGGCACTGGTAGTCCTAGCTTTTCAAAGCTGTTAAGTTGAAGGCAAATTCAGTATGAGCATAGTTCAAGTCATATTTGTTCTAAACCATTTAAATAACATTTTTTTTCCTCCATGATGGAAGAATGTTACTAAGATCAAGAGAAATGCCTCACACTACTCTCTTTTAGCCATATCAGCTTGGCAGTAATTTGTACATCCTAGCTACTAACACTGTTAGCAGAAACAATGGAAAACACGAGAAGAATAGAGGAAGACAACAAAGATGCTAAGCAGACTCTAGTCTGCACCAAATGGTGAACAACTGAAAGAAAGTAAACGTGTAAGGGAAAGTATCAAATATGGGAACGCTGTCGCTCACAGCAGGCAGGTGCCGGAGCCTCCGTGATGTGGAGAGCAAGTGCAGTGACTGTAAGGAAGAGAGAAGGAACTGGTCAGACAGGGGAAGCTGGAGTTTAAGATGTGGTCTGTTTCCAGGATATTATCATTTATGATGGTTGTGGCGACAGTAGAAGTGAAGATCATCCATGTAGAAATTGAAGTGACCTTCTTAAATGCTGAGAGACAGTTTCCAGTCCCTGAGAGGGACGAGCCCAAGACCTCAGTAATAGAGAATGACCCGCAGGTCAGTCACTGATGGCAGAAAGGAGCAATAAAGTGGAGCTCAGGAAAGAGCGTGAACTGCAAGAGAGAACGGACACTTGCCTGAAAAGAAGTAACAGGTTAGAAGGGGAAGGGAGAGCCCAGAAAAGGTCACCACTTCCCGATCTTGCAGTTGGAAATGCAAACCCATGAGAAGAGACTGTCCTCGGTCAGTCTATCACCCACTGGGAACAAAGGATTTACTTTTAAGACCAGCACAGATGCTGGAAGGATTTGCTCAATGTATGCACAAGAGAATGTGCCACAGAAACATCAGGTTGGGATGGAACCCGGTTTCCCAGATTCCTCGTGTCTTGACTTCTGTCCAAACTTGACTTTCTCTCGTCCTTCCTCCCCATTGTCTTCTTGATGCCTGTTTGTCAAACAGTAAATATGTGCTCGGCCTTAGCCTAAGTCAAAGGGAAATAAAGGACAAGAGGGGAAAAGAAGATGTGTAATATGAGTCACTGTCCAGAAGGAACAGGGGGAAAGGCCGAGCTTATAAACATCTTATTATTATTATACGTTTCAACAGAGATACGTAAAAAGGGGACTGTTCAGCATTGCCTAAGATGAGAAGCAGTTAGGGTAGAATTCCCCCAGTGTGGAACCAGCTTTGAACTAAATACTGGAAAGTGTTACCTAACTGGAGAAAGGTAAAGAACGAACAAAGGATGCTACCCTGCCTATCTCAAATACACTCTTAAAGCAATCAGGAAGAGAGAAAGCAAAATAAAGCTAGAGAGGGAAGAGGCAGCAAGTGGGAGGCGGAGACAGGAGAGGGTAGAAAAGGCCTAAGTTCATACCAGTTTGAGAAGGCTCAGGATTTCCCCGGGATTGTTGGGAATCCCCTGTGATGGATTTCCCTTTCACGAACTTACCTTTCATCCATCAGATTTCTTCTACGTTTTCCTACTGGATCTTCCCAGTCTAATCCCAACTTGAATCTGGGTCATTGGGCTACTTTTAACTTCAAGTCTCACACTTTATTCCTAGCAGATTGTACCCAGGCTTTTCTGGTCTATCTAGTAATTATTTGGCAGGATGGGTGAGGGTAGAGATGAGAAAAGCCAGCTCTAATAATTCTTCATAAAGAACAAACTTGTATTTCCTATAATGCATGAATATGCAAAGTTTCCTCAAAAGGATCAAACTTTCATAAGTATTATACATATAAAATTATGCTTAACAAATCCAAAGGATTGTATAGAGTATGTGAAAAGAAACCCATAAGGCACTGTGAGGAAGCTCTTATTAACAGCTGTGCCTAGCATCAAGCTCTAATTATCCCAGTAGTTGCAGCTTAGTACCATTCTGTGATGTGGGCAGACTATTTAAAAAATTTCCTACGTGATTAATTATAACCAGAGGACAATCCACGTACTCCTCCCTTTGTTTATCAGAAAAATGAAACTGTGATAATGTTTTTCTAAAAACCTGAGAAAATCTAAGTGCTTTAGGACGGAATTAATTTACATGGTTACACTGATTTCTAATTGTTTCATTTTATGTTGGTGTTTGTCTTCAGAGAGGTAATAATGTAACATTTAACCGTTTTTATTGACCTAAGATCCTTTTCAGTGTTGTTTTCTGCATAATTCTTAATTCCTTTGCAAAAGAAGCACCTCTGGTAATTAATTGACAATATGGATAGCAGCTATGGCAAGACGTAATTGTAAGAGTGCAATAGACCTTAGCAAAAAAAAAAAGGGCTGTAATTCATTTTTCAATCTAAGTAGAAAGAAGATAATAACATGGTTACTTTAGAACAAGAAAGTGTTAATGTAAACAAATTTCCACAGAGTTAATAATTTATAGTACTTGCCATATCAATGAATTGCAGTGCAGATATATACCTATATAATTTTGTATAGATCCTTGATCATTGTACTATTTATGAATGGTTCTCTTCTTTCATTTTTTTTATTATAAAATCCTGTAGACACAAACGTACACACATGGCTGCTCCCTTTTTATGCACCCACGACACTCACCTATAACATCAAGTTGATATGTCTCCCTCTGAATAACTAGAATGCAAAATCTTGACATACTCAGAAAAGACATTATTCAGTTTGTGCCTCCAGTTGGAGACTCTTAGATCCTTACCTCCTGCGAAAGAAATAGGGGCCAATGAGATTCAAAGGTTTGACACTAACAGCCTTATCTCTGTCGAGATTCCCTTTTCTAAAAATCTTCTTTTATATCTAAATAAGCTGAAATCAATTGAGACGTACAATCAGACTAGACTTCATGCTCAATGGCAAAATCGCCCAGGAAATGACAAAAGAAACCCACTGCTTAATAAATAACCCAGTGGACCCATCATCTGTGACATGAACTTTAGAGTTGAGCACAATTCTCTGTATTCTTGATGGCCGGCATCCATGATTTTAATGATCACTGTCTAATGTCGTTTCAGATTTCAAACCTTTACATATATGACACAGTGCTCCTGCTTGCTAATGCTTTTCACAAGAAGCTAGAGGACAGGAAGTGGCACAGCATGGCGAGCCTGTCGTGTATAAGGAAGAACTCGAAGCCCTGGCAGGGAGGGCGCTCCATGCTGGAGACCATCAAGAAGGTAACCTCCCATGACCGTTTTACTCTCTTAATTATCATGTGGAAAAGGATGCGATAAATCATTGTCTGATGAGATGTCTTTTCTAAAGAAAAGAAGAACTTTTTCTTTACTAATATTGCTGCTAATTCAACGGGCAAAACAGTGCAATCGAGAAATATAAATTAAAAAAGAAAAACGTCAGAGGGCCACAAACATATAAAAAAGAGGGACGTTAATTACAAGGGAATTATATGCAAATAAAAAATTAGTGGATGGGCGGCGCCTGTGGCTCAAAGGAGTAGGACGCTGGCCCCATATACCAGAGGTGGCAGGTTCAAACCCGGCCCTGGCCAAAAACTGCAAAAAAAAAAAAAAAAAATTGGTGAATGAGATATTTTAAATTGTGTTGGTCCTCTCATTAGCAGTAGAGATACTCAAATTGTTTTCCTTTTTGTCACAAAATACAAAAAGTATTTTTCTTAAACAAGCCTATCACTGGGAAAACTAACAGTAAACTTAGCATTTTTCCGTTTAGCTGATACACAGTTAAGCATCGGATGTGATGACCTGTAGTTACTCTCTGACAAGTAGCAGATATGCTCCAGCATTTTCAGCGATTTGGACACTTGCTTGCACTCTTCTCCTTCACTCTCAGTGCGCTGCTTAGCTCGGCAGTGATCTTTTTGGCTTTACCTGCTTCATTCCCAGAAGGCAGTTTACGCTGTTTAGTTCCTCTCCGTGGCACAAGGATTCTGCAGTTTATTAGGCTCTTTGTCTTGTCATGCTTGGTGACATTTTTCATTTGTCTTGCACAGCTTCTTAGATTTGAAATGAAATGATTAATAAAATAAACAAATACTCCATACCCTTTACACAAAGAAGACAGGCATTTGGAAGTTTATATTTTTCATTTTAACCATCCTTTTTCTCTCTGCTTGCATTTGCCTTTTACTCCTGAAAGACAAAGAAAAATAACTAATCGAATGAAATATGAGTGCATTTAGAAAAGTCAGAGAAAAAACTAAAAATTTAATATTAGAAGTGGACTAGATATTTAAAGAAACAGACAGTTCTGGAAAGACATATTTCAAATGGAGACTAGCTTGGGACTTTCTCTTGGTTCTTATCTTGATTCCTTTTCTGCTGCTCTCACAGAACACCACAGACTGGGAAATTTATAAGAAGAACAAGTGTCTTGGCTTAAGTTTCTGGGGGCTGGCAAGTTTAAGACCAGGGCAACAGTACCTGGCAAGGGTCATCCGAGGGCTTGATAACTAATCCAGTGCCATGATAAGAGCATTAATTCATTCATGTGGGTGGAGCCCCCATGACCTAATCTCATCTTAAAAGTCCACCTTGTTATTTTTTTTATTTATTTTTATTTTTATTTTTATTTTTATTTTTCAGACAGTCTTACTTTATCACCCTTGGTAGAGTGCCATGGCCACACAACGCACAGCAACCTCCAACTCCTGGGCTTAGGTGATTTTCTTGCCTCAGCCTTCTGAGTAGCTGAGACTATAGGCACCCACCACAATGCCCGGCTATTTTTTTGTTACATTTTGGCTGGGGCTAGGTTTGAACCCGCCACCCTCGGTACATGGGCTGGCACCCTACTCACTGAGCTACAGGCACCACCCAAAAGTCCATGTCTTTATACCGTTACAAAGGCAATTCAGTTTCAACATGAATTTTGGAAAGGTCATCAAAATTATACCATTCAACCCCTAGCCCCCCCCAAATTCATGTTCTTATCTCATATAAAATACATTTATTTCTTCAGGGTAGTCTAAAAAGTTTGAACTTGCTTCAGCATCTATATAAAAATCAAAATTCTAGGGTCCCATCTAAGTCAGACATGAGTGGAAACTCAATGCACAATTTATCATGATGCAAATTTCTTCTAGCTGTGAGCTTGTGAAATTAAAACAGGACTATTTACTTCCAAAATACAGTGTAGGACAGGAATGGGATAGGCATTCCTATTCTAAAAGAGAGAAATAGGTAAGAAAAGAGGGGTAACTGGTCCAAAGCAAGATCAAAAGCCAACAGGAAAAAATATCATTAAATCTTAAAGTTAGAGAATAATATCCTTTGATTCGTTCCTGGGTGCACTGGAGCAGGGTTGGGTCCCTAATGCTTCAAGCAACCCCTCCTCCATGGTTCTGCTGTGCTCACCCTGTGCAGCTTCCTCAGGATGGAGCGACATGCTAGTGGCACTGCAGTTCTGTGTTGGTGGGGGTTTTCCATGGCTCCAATAGGTATTCCCCTAGTGGAAACTCTTGGTGGAAGCTCTGGTCCCACATTTCCTTCCAGGATTGCCCTATTCAAGGCTTTCCGTAGTGGCTTTATCTGGAGACAAGTCTCTTCCTGGTTCCCCAGGCTTATCAGGACATCCTTTGAAATCTACATGAAGGGAGCCACACCCGCCCCCCATAGTGTTTCATTCTGTGCACTGCAGAATGAGCACCACATGGAGGCTTAGCACCCTAACCCTCTGAAGCGATATCCCAAGCCAGACCTGGGCCCACGTGAGCACCCTGCACAGCTGAGGAATGCCACACGGGAATGCTAAGAGCAGAGTCCTGAGGTGGCCTTGGATATGGGGAGAGCATCCTGGGCCCTCCTAGAGCTCTGGGCCTGTGTTGTCAGCGGCAGCCTCAAGGACTTTTGACCTACCAATGGGGCCTTTTTTCCATTGTCTTAACAAAGAGCGTGCGGCTCCCTTACTCTTACTAACGTCTTTGCCAAACAATTGCTTGGCAGCACGCAGGCCTCGCTCCTGAGCATGACTTTTTGCTCAGGAGAGCTTACATATGCAGGATGCAAATTTTTCAAATCTTTCCTTCTGCTTCTCTTTAAATTATGAATTCTGTCATTAAATCATTTCTATCCTTATAATATATAGTTGTTAAAAGAAGCCACTCAACAGCCCAAATGCTCTGCTTCTTGAAATTTCTTTAGCCAAGTATCCCAGTTCACTGCTCTTAAAATCTGTATTCTGTAAAGTCCTAGGACATGAACCTAATTCAGCCAATGTCTTTGCTACTTCATAACAAGGATAGTCTTTACTCTAGTTTTTTTTTGTTTGTTTGTTTTGTTTTTTTACTATTACAAATAATACCTTATTACTCATTTCTGCCTGGGATCTCATTAGAATGACTTTTACTGCCCATATTTCTACTAACAATCTGGTCACATCCATTTAAGTAAACTCTAAGGAGTTCCAGACTTTCCCTACAGCTCACCTCTGCTTAGCCTTTTCCAGGATTACCCTTATGGCTCCACTTATAGCAATAGACTCTTCACCTAGCTTACTCCTCCAAATTCTTCCAGCTTCTACCCATTACTCAGTTACAAAACCACAGCACATCTTAAGATACTTGTTATAGCAACAACCTCACTTTTTGGTACCAAATTTTCTCTCTTAATTCATTTTATTCTGCTAGAACACCACAGACTGGGTAATTCAGAAAGAACAGATGTTGATTAGGCATATGATTCTGGAGGCTGGTAAGTCTAAGGGCATAGTGCCAGCACCTGGTGAGGGCGTCCAATGGCAGAAAAGAGCATCACATGACAAGAAGATCACATGAGACAGAAAGAAAAGGCAGGCACAACCCTAGGGATATGAATCCCCCTCCTGTGATAATGGCATTAACTCACTTATAGAGGCAGAGCCCTCAGGACATAATCAACTCTTACCAGTCCCTATTCTTTTTTTTTTTTTTTATTAAATGATAGCTGTGTACATTAATACTCTCCATGGGCCCATATCCAATCATGGGGTACAGTGTGGTGTTTTCATATACAATTGGAAATCTTTTCATCAAACTGGTTAACATAGCCTTCATGTCATTTTCTTAGTAATTGTGTTAAGCCATTTATAGTCTACTTTTAGAAAGATTCACTTGTACTCTTGTAAGATAAACCATAGAGATGATCCCTCAAATCACCCTCCCTCCACCCTTTCACCCCCTCCACTCCCCTCCCCCTCCCCCCTCCCCATATTCTTAGGCTATAGTTAAGGTGACCAGATTTTAACATTGGTAAAGCGGGACACCATTGATGGAGGGTGGGGGGAGGAGGTGGGGGGGTGTCTTAACTAAAAATTTTATCTATATGGAGCAACAAAAATTTTCATAGAATGCAAAAATAGTATTGTAACATATATATTTTTAATTTCAACATAAGCACAATTTACAAATATAATACATTAAAAAAAAAATCATGTATAGGGTGGAGCCTGTGGCTCAAAGGAGTAGAGCCCGGTCCACCTGGGCGACCTTGCCTAGGAGGGGAGTAGGGAGTTTACATTAGCCTTTTTATTTCCAAACGAAATTACATTAACCTCTTCATTCCCAAATGGAGTTACATTAATCTTTTCAGCAGCTGAAAACCATATATTCCCTTCCTGTTGTCCCACCATTCCCTAGCTTGTTGTGCATTCTTTCCAAAACTTGGGACTTTTAAAATGCCGCAGGACGCAGGACAAATTGTTAAAAATCAGGACTGAACCTCCAAAAGCGGGACGTCTGGTCACCTTAGCTATAATTAGGTTATAGCTTTCACATGAAAGCTATAAATTAGTTTCATAAAAGGGCTGTGTACATTGGATACCTTTTCTTCCGTTCTTGAGATACTTTGCTAAGAAGAACATTTTCCAGCTCCATCCATGTATACATGAAGGAGGTAAAGTCTCCATCTTTTTTTATGGTGCCATAGTATTCCATGGTGTACATATACCACAATTTATTGATCCATTTGTGAATTGATGGGCACTTGGGCTTCTTCCATGACCTAGCAATTATGAATTGCCCAGTCCC